AGATATTGACGACACGATAATTGGATTCTGGATATAGACGGAAACAAGGGTGGGTTCAATAATAATGAGTATTGATAGCGATGGAAACAAGGGTGGGTTCAATAATAATGAGTATTGATAGCGATCGATTAGAAATGGAAACTCTAAACTCTTATCCAGTTTAATAACTCCAACGTACGTAGCTAGTTTAGTCGCCACACACTTTTTTGTTCTCTACGAAGTCTTGGATTAGAACGTACGTTAATTACACCACGTTGTTAGTCCAATAGTAGAGATTCTTTTTAAGAGTAAAGCTTATTAGTCAAATACTCGGACTTCGTAACTGAGATTCCGAATCAGATTTGTTATCCATTTTGAAAATAAAAAATGATTATATATTTGCATCTTCATTATTTCGTACGAATAGAAAAGAAAAGCCAATGTAATAATAAAACATAACAAAGTCACATATATTTGACTGAAAAAGCAAAACTTACAATATCATGATTACTATCATCTATCAAATTGTTACATCTAAACATTAAACAACGGTTAGAGAACTTTTCAAGTTTAGCACAATATTAGGCCACAGAACTTCTTTTCCAGATCTATCTTTGGTGTCGTCTCTTTTCCAATGCAACCTCTATAGTCTATACACAAGATCTTTGTTTCTCTATTTTCATCAATGTTAAGAAAACTTGCAAGTTTCCCGCTTTGATCAGCTTTTCTAGACCCTTAAGTGTCATACATCTTTGGTAGATCTTCAGCACCTTTTACATATCTCCAAACCCTAACTCCCGGATCAATCATAGACGCTTATTTGATAAACTCTCTTACGATGATCAAAACCAAAAACGGTACAACATGTTGTCAATAAGTTATAGGTCTTACTATATTGCAAGTCTTTTTAACAGATAAATCCAGGCATTTTTGGTGACGGACATCTTTGGACATACGGATTTTGGTTGGTATGCATGTGAACATATTATATATGCTGAACTCATTAACCAAATAATATGTAAATATTTAACATATGATTTTGATAGGGTAAAAGTGGAAAAGGATGTTATAATATGGCATGCCCAGGGTTTGTTCAAGTATCGAATGTGGTTCCCATAGTCAAACCCCTGTACCTTGAGGGAGGGGACTCTGCGTCGTTGCAGTGGGCCATCCATCAAGTAAGTTTCTAATTTTCTACACTTCATTCGTTTTTTAATAATATGTTTTGAAGATTTTTTTGTTTGTTTCAATAATTTCTTAAGTTTCTAGGCAATATTTTCATGTCATTCTCACTTAGTAGTGAAGGAATTATGATTCTTAAAGGCTAACCATTAATAAAATCAAATAAGTGATCAATTTATTAAAACTATAGCATTTTTAGTCCAAACACTTTGCCTTTTCAAGTAATTTGATTAGCACATTATTTTACTATGAATTTTTATTCACAAATGAATTTTGTTTTGCCCTTAAAAAAGGATGAATAAACAAGAAACTGGTGGGTTATACAAATGTCGCCTTATACATACAACGGTTATTGGTCATGAAGTCTTATACAAATGTCGCCTTATACATACACCCGAACCAACTTTTCATTCAATATTCAACATGAAGTCTCTCTCCCATATACAGTCCTTACGATCATAAAAAAGGTTATTTGTAATATCCATAATGTTCATCTTCTCGTTCATCACAATTCTCTTGAGCGTTACCGTTTACACCTTTTCATATATATACTCCCGAAAAACATTTCCAAACTTGCTTCTTAAGGTCAAAACCTCAACCCAAGTATCCAACAAATATGACTCATTACACTTTGAGATTACATAGATTTTCCCATCTACAACACCAAATGCAGCACAGTCTCATGTCACACACATAATATGAAGAAATCGACACGTGCTAATCAAACAATCGATAACAAACATATTAAAGGTGAGATCACCATTAATGCACCAACTAAAACATAGATATCTTGACTTTTTACAATACTAGAAGATCTCCTGACAAGGAAGAGAAGAGATATAAGGAAATGCAACCAATTTGCGGTTATAAGAGATAGATTTTTTTTGGGTAAGATTCTTGACTGAGAGTATACCAATTAGGATCGTCTTCATGATCATATCTCAATGACACGTGAAAGAACGTTTTAGGCCCATTCAAGGATTGAAGGTACAAATCTTTGACGAAGGAATGAAACGACGAAATGTCGTGGACACAAGATATAGTGAAAGGTGGTCACATCTTGGGTCATAGTTAAGAAAAACATTTCGCAATGATATTATGTGACAGAGAAAAAGATAGAGGGAACAAAGATAATTTTACTTTAGTCAGTTTCTTGAATTTTGGTAGGAAATTTACGACGTTTAATTTGCAATAACCACGAAAGACACATTTAGTATGAGTATGAACTATCAACAGAAAGATGGCGGCATAAGTCTAACTAATTTCTCAAAATAGGTTAAAACCCCCGTTCTCAAAATAGGTTAGTCATACACAATCTATCAGGGATTTTAAACCTATTTAATAAAAGTAATTAAATTATTATATAAACTTTTACCGCCACCCTTACTTTCACAGTTCATACTCATATTGAATATGACTTTTGTAGTTAGTGAAAACGCAGTAGATACTTCACCAAAATTTAAGAAACCAGCTGATGTAAAATGATCTTTGTTTTCTTCATCTCTTTTGCTACCAAATAAAATCATTGTAAAGAGTTTTTCTTACGTTCCACAATGTGACTACCCTTCATTATCTCTTGTCTCTAGGACTTTCATTGTCTCATCACTTTGTAATCATGAAAAAGACAGTTGGTAAACTCTCAATCGAAAACCATACGAAAAAATGAATCTAACTCTTATGACCACAAATTGGTTCCATTTCATTCTTTTATTTCTCTGCCTTGTTGGGGATATTCTATTATTGTAATATGCCAACAGATCTATGTTCTTGGTGGAGGGATCATTAGTAAGCTCACCTATAATGTGTTTTTATCGATAGCATGCTTAGCACTTGTCAAATTCTTCCTAGTATATGTGTGCCATCGTTTAATGTTGTATATATCTATCTAATCCAAGGGTGTAATAAGATAGATTCTTTGGATATTTGGGTTATTCAAGGAGAAAATTTGAGAATGTTTTTTTTGGGTTTGTGTAATGAAAACGTGTAAAAGATAACGCTAAATAATATTGTGATGGACGAGAAGATTTACATAATAGATCGTACAATATATTGTTTATGATCCTAAGAAAGGTATATAGTAGATGGACTTAATGTTGAATAGTGAATTGGAAAGTTGGTTCGTGCGTTATTGACAACATGTTGTATATCTTTGGATTTGATCATCGAAAGGAGTTTATCAAATAAACATCTTGGACATAAAAGTTATCAAATATCTCTGTATTTTTCTTATATGTTGGAGTTTTGAGGTTGAAAAGCTTCTTTATTGTTGGATTAATGTTGTGGTCCAATGTCAACTAAAATGTGTTAACTTAATTCAAGATTCAGTAGAGAACCTTATATACGAGCTTATATGTATCCCAGTTTCCAATATGGGATATTCAAGCATTCTAATACTATGTGAAATCGATGTCCAAATTAAGAGAAAGTTTTTGAACACAACGGTCGACATATTTTGAACATAACTGTCAACATATAAAATTCGCGCGCAAACGAAAATCTAAAGTTGCAACTACCAGCCTAAACTAAAATCTATTAAACCTATACGCATAAAAATAAACAATGTTACACCTAAATTTAACTAGCATCTCCATATATTGAAAAAGATTATTGGTGGGTTTATTACAGCAGATAAGAAACATTGGGATCGTTGAAGAACGCAGAAGTGTTGTTTTGTTTTCTAATTTTTTTCCAAAATAATGTATAGATGCTCAAGAACTACATAAGAAAAGTAGGACTCACCAACGGAAATTGCAAGGAGACAACGACGATTGAAGGTTTGGTAATATCAAACAAAACGCTCAATCTGTACCAAAAACCTGACCGATCCAAAAGTTCAAAACCTCAATTAAAAAGTAATAGATCTCAAAAACAAAAATCCAATGCAGAAATAACGAAGAGAACATATAAATTACATGAAGATGTGAAATTCTGACCGTAAGATCCAGTTCTAAAGAGACTGGTTTCTTCAGTTCGAACGATCGATGGTGATGGTGTGTATCTTTAGTTCGCTCTAAAAGCTTTTCTTATCGGACAACACTCCAAAAACTCTTGTGTGATGTTGATTGTTGACAAGTAGATAACGTTCTTGAGTGTTTATTTCACTCATTATATAATACAAAAAAAAAGAGTGTATTGATACATCCGAATGTTAATTTGTAAATTGTCCTCTTACCATTTACCATTTTTAGAAGATTTATGTCTATCTTCTTGTAGATTTGTTCAAACTTTGAAGATTTTGTCATTATTACTTTTATCGGCAAGTTAATTATGATTGCATTTTGTCCTTGAGAAAAAGTTATACTATTTGACAAACCAAAAGTCCAAAACCAATTGTGGGCATATTTCAAAGAACTCGTTTGTGTCTATTGGGCTTAACTTAGTTTAAAGACCCATTAGGCCATTACACATGCACGTTCGAATCACCATTATAACTTAAGACACAATTGATCGGTTTAGTAAATTAGCTAAACCAATTTGCCTCTGCTTACAAAAAAAAATCCCCTATTTGCCTATGATAATTTACTGACACTATTGCAGCTAATTCTTTGGCATCCACAAGATTTTTAATTGTTAGTACAATAAGATCTTGAATGAACATTCATAACATCGTTCAGAGATAAATATTTCACAATGGCATAGATTGATGAATATACACAATGGCAATAGATCTTATTGTACGATGTGAAAGAAAACCAAAAACTTTATATACAAAATTCTCGTAGTTTCTAGGGCTTTTTCACTCGTTTTGTTTATGGTTTGTTGTTTTGCTTTTCTTATCACACTACTATACATAATACTTCTTCTCTCTTACAGATATATGATATTGTTCTTTATAAAGGATGAAGAAAAAGTTCAAACACGAACTAGAAGATAAGGATAATGTTCAAGAGTATGGACGTCCTAACTGCAAAAGAAAGTAAAGTCCACTACTCTTTATGTTATAAAATCTTTGTTTCTATGAGTTGTGTTATATATATATGTTCACTTATCCTAGATAGATTCTCATTTCTGGTGTAGATATAGTGCACTGGATGCTCTGAGATTATTTTCTATGGAAGGCGATTCTTTTCATTGTGAAAATTGCAATGGTGAACTTGTTATGGAATGTAACAAGCTAACTTCCCAAGAAGTACTAGTAGATGGAAGTGACAATGCAAGGAGACGGCGGGATCATCTAAAAGATTTGCTTCAGATTATGGAAGTTCGACTGAAACCTCTGATGGATCATATAAACAGAATAAAAGACCTACCGCTTCCTAGCTTTGAATCTTTTCCGGCATGGGAGGCTCGTGCAGCTACGTATGCTCGTGAAAATGGTGATCGTAATTCTGATGATTTGATCAAGAAAGGAATGAATCTGACCGATGAACAACGAGGAGAAATAAGACATGGAGCAGAGGTTTATGATGGTGGCTTAGGAGAAGCTGCAGAACTTTCAGATGACAAGAAATCATCCCTGGGAAATGGTGTTGATGATAAGGATTTGAAGGTAATGCCTTTTGGGGGAAAATTCTTTGTGTCTAGATTCTCACATGTAGTAGTATCTTTGTGGATTTTGTTTCCAAAATTTTGATTTAGTATTTTTGTTTTGCTTCAGAATGAATATATCAAAGGGTACTTGGCCGCTAAACTGGAGCAGCATGAGCTAGCTGAAAAGCTGAATCAGCAAGAATCCGCAGGCCAATCAACAACCACTGACATTGAATTGGCTACTACATCCTCAGATCTTCAGGTTGGTATGAAGTGTAAACGTGAAGAGGAAGATGAAGAAGATGTTGCATGGGGAGAAACGTTTAATGTTTCAGGTCAGTTTTGAGTTTACTATTATTACTTCATTTCCTATATGAAACAAGTCAACAACACATTAGTTACTTAGAAGGGACCTTGTTTAGTTTTTTCAAGTATAAAACCGCGCGAAACAGAGTGTTTCAGAAAAAGGACAGTTTGCTTTGAATGTTTTGAGATTGCAGAACTTCAAGAAGAAGACATGCGCCGCTCATAGTTTAACTAATATTAGTTTAAGTCTCATTTGGTGTACATGTGATGCTCAACTTTACTTTCTTTATATGCAGCAAATGGAAACTACAAGGTGGACATGAATGTGGAAGCCGAAAAAGCAGAAGAAAGAGATTTCTAATGGACTTAGGCTTGACCAAAGTGTTCTAATTGTTTTCCAAGAAATTTATGGTACCATTTTTCTTATGCGATTCTTTCACAAATCCAACACAGATAGTCCCAAATTGATTGATCATTGAATAACAAATATCACAAAACAGAAAATCCTTACATGAGCTATAATGCATGCTGATTACTTTTTATTTTAATTATTTTTTTTTTGGTTAAATGCCACATGGCTTAAAAGAGTTACATTGCACGAACAGGAGGAATACTCTGTTCGAATCTAAAGAAATTCTGAGGGTCATACTTAGCTTTAACTTCCATCAATCTCTTAAAGTTCCCCAAGAAATACCTGGATCCATAGATCTCTGCAGCTTCTTCAACATTGGTTTTACCACTAATATTGCTTCCGACATCGATATCTCTGTAATTCAAGAACGCCTCTCTCGGGTTGCTTGACACGTACGGCTCCATCTCATCGTAAATCTCTTTCATCAGACCGAGATTAGCGTCTGTGGCGTTTGCGTCTGTCCATAACGCAAAGTACTGAATCTTGAACAAGTTTCCTTTTCGATGAGGAAAAGCCGTGGCATCAGCCGGAATCTTGTCCATCACTCCGCCGTAAGGGTTCCATTGCATCCACATATTGTTGAACTTCAACATTGTTTTCCAGATCTTCTCCATTCCTTCTTTTGGGATTGGTTTCTTGACGTAATCCGATTTACTCTTGAAGAATGCTCCTGGCGGATCCGATGGTCTAGCCAATAGAAGGCTTGTCGATGTTCCCACAGGATAGTTCTGCCAAAACATTGTCGTATTAATCCAGCTCATTTCGTAGCAATCTTCACGTTTTAGCCCTAATTCAGGCAAATTCTTGTTCATAATCGCCATGAGCCTCCTTGCTGAGCCTAAAAACTGAGCGTAGAACACAGCCGCGATGGTTTTCTCGCTAGGTACCGCGCCATTTATGACTTGAGGCATTGCTCTCAAGAAAAGGTCTCGAGGCAATTTGCTAGAGACAAGCTGCCATTTGTAGAGAACATCAGTAACTCCTTGCTCCAATGTTTTATTAACCTTAAAAACTGTCACGGTCTTTGGAACATCGACGAGGTTGATTTTCCAGGAAAGGATAACTCCGAAGCTTGCGCCCCCACCGCCTCGAATAGCCCACAATAGATCACGTCCCAAGGTAGCTCCTGTCAAGATATTGCCGTTGACATCAACTATTCGAGCATCAACGACATGATCGACTGAAATTCCGTACTTTCTAATCAAATTTCCGTATCCTCCGCCGCTGATGTGTCCTCCCGCCCCTAATGTAGGACAAACGCCACCCGCAAACGCTAGCGTTTTGCTAGCCTCTGCGATTTTGGTGTAGAGCTCTCCCATGGTCGCACCTGCATCAACCCAAGCTTGCTTTCTGAACACGTCAATGGTTATAGACCGGAGATCGTGCATGTCGAGAATAACAAACGGAACAGAGGAGATATATGAAAGTCCCTCATAGTCGTGACCGCCGCTTCGGATACGGATCTGGACTCCATTGACCTTTGCGCAGACCACGGTTGCCTGAACATGAGATTCATGTTTTGCAGCAACAATGGCGATTAGTTTTGTGTCGTTAGGGTTTGAGTACCGTTTATTTTTCGTGTAGGACACGTAAGATGACACGAAGGTGGAGTTCTCATGAGTATAGAGGGCTTCAGTGATCGGATTCTTCGGACTGGTCCGATTACGAAGGCATCGGAGGAAGTTTTCAGTATTTGGTTTCGTTTCATTTGCATCTGAAACCGAAACAAGAAGAACAAGTAGCAGAACATAAACTACTTCTTTCATTACTTTGATTGAATTAAGAACTCAGAGTGATTTTTTAGTTTGTCTTATGTATTAATTGGGATTTCGACACAGAGAAAAAAAAAATCTAGAAAGAAAATTAAACTGAAAGTTGAATTTGTTGGTCATAGGGGTTTTACTTTGAATAAACTTATAAACCTACGAATTGTGGAAACTGAAGTAATGAGGGAAAGTAATTGAATACTTTTTTTTAATGTAATTGGAAACGTAACGTAATGTGAAACACTGAAACTTCATTCATTTTTTTTTTGTTTTTGATAAAAAATGTGTAACTCATAAAGTCAAGATTCAAGAAACCTTCTTAGCAAAAAAAAAAAAGATTCAAGAAACCTCTTTTTTCTTTTTCTTTAAAAAACTAAAAACTCAGAATCAGTTATCATTAAATTTTCTCGGTTAAAATAATAATAATTCTCATTAATTTTTTTTTGTTTTTGCTCGTTGAATTCACCTTTTAATGCATTGCATTAGACCATTAGTATTGTCGAATAATATGGTTTGCGTTTGTATTAGTGTAAAATCTCTAAGATATGTCCGAGAAAGTTTGCAATAAATTTTTCTTTTTTAAGGCAGAAACGTTTATCTTTTTTTCCCCTCAAACATTAATGTCAACTTTTAATTTAGTGTAATTTGACTTTATTTGATTTTTTTGTTTGACAACGAATTTATGTGATTCAAGTGCGGTATTTTGGAAAAAAATTAATTTGTTCACAGAAAAATACCATATACAAATAATTTTACATAATCAATAGTAACTTATAAAATAATAGTAACTTAAATAGTTTTAACTGTTTTCATGATTTTGTCTAATTCATATAAGCCTTCCCTAATAAATTTTTTTACCAAGTAATTAATGTCGGATATTGTTTATCGATCGATCTCAGTCTCACTACAGTGTATTATAATCATCCAAGTAGATTTTGTTTCTTCTTGCAAGATAGAGAAAAAAAAAACAAATAAATATACCACAGAGACAAGAAATATATGAAAGGGATTCGTATTACAATCTTACAAGTACAAGCAAAACCATTCTAGATCACTTTTTACCAACTTATTTTACACATAAACACACAATCTTGAAAATACAAAACTTACATAGTGCTTAAGCGAGGCAGAAAATTAAAACTTGAGAAACCGGGACATAGTAATTGTACCGACGTCGAAAGAACCCTTAGTTTAATTTTGTATGCATCATTAAGACGCACTAAAACCTAGCCCTCGTAGAAGCGGGAAGCCCTAATTAAACTTCCCATATTTAAATTACTTGTAGCCTTTAGACCATCCTCATCCCTAAACCCTTTATGGGTAACTAAAGGAGTGTCTTTAATTTTAATACTAATTAATTTTTAAGATACCCACAAAAGGTTTAGGACTTAGTCCTTCATTTGTGGAATATTCAAGCTCTCTTATTCGTGTGTTGGTTGTGGAATCAATCAACAAACCCTCATTCCCATCTCTACCATCACTCACGTTGCCGGATCTTATTGATCTCAGCGGATTATAATCATCCACGTAGATTTTGTTTGTATCGCAAGAAAGAGAAAAAAGTTTAGAACAAGATAAATAGATTAAAATAGACAAGATATGTATGAAAGGGATTCGAACTAAAGTAGAAGCAAAACTATTCTAGATCATTTTCTTACCAACTTATTTTACCGCATAACCACAAAATTTTGGGTTCAGTGACAACGGAAATGATAATTAGTTTTGGGATCTTGGGCTCCACACACACAAAATTGGTCCGTTTTAGTTGGAAAACTCGTAACACAAAATTAGGTTTCATTTCATCAGTTGATTAGTAACACACTTAGGTGATTAAAATATTACTCAAAATGAAGATGATTACTAACGCGGTTACGCGGGCACATATATCTTTATGCGCATGAAATGATCTAACTTCTAAATATTGTTAGACAAATTTTACTCATTAGTATAGGCTGGTTCCAGTTATTTTGTACCAATCTTGTTAATTTTTTCCGGAGTTTGTCTTTTTAAAAATAATTTTGATAACAAGGTAAAACATTCCAAAGAAAAATTAACTCATCAAATTGAATTGAATTTTTAATATATTTTGAAAAGTGTAGTAGATATTTCCAAAATATAAAGACTTCACATTTTATTTTTTTAATAATCTGCAACTTCCAAGCACACGATCACTAAAAGGAAGAAAATGGGCGCGTAAATCTCCTCCCACTCTGTTTCAAAATAACCGCCAACAACAACACCTCAAGTAACAAAGAAACTACCTCTCTGCTTCTTTCTCTCTATCATCTCACCCATACACGAAACCAAAAAAACGTAACTTTGTGTTCTCTATCTCTCCAATGGCGTCTTCTGTCTTCTTCTTCATCTTCTTCCTCACACTATCATCATCCTACCTTCCTCTCTCAGTATTCTCAGCAACCGTCGTCGAAGACCTTGCTAATCTTAGTCCACCTCCTGATTTCAACACCACAATTACCAACAACTGTCTTCGTGATCCGTTGCTCCGTTACTGCAACAACACTTCTTCTTCTCCGTTGGACATCGTTGAGATCTTCAGATCCACAATCGTCGCTAGTCATCTTTGCAACGAGTCCAAGAACCCTAACTGCGTCGAATCTTTCCCCAGAATCAGAATCCACGGTCGTCCTAAAACCGCTGCGCTTTATCTCTCTTTCGATTTCTTCTGGAAGTACTGTCCATTAACCGTCGTTGATATTGAGTTAGTGAATAACTCTCTCAAGAATGGGTTTCCGACAAATGTTCTGTCTTGTGCTCAGATTCGTACTCTTGATCTGAGTTACAACCAATTCTCTGGGTTTGTTCCGGTCCAGGATCTCTCTGGATTACCCAATCTGACCCATTTGAATCTATCGTATAACCGTTTTTCCGAGAATAAGATCTCGGATTCTGAGTTCTTCAAACGGTTTAACGCCTCGAGTTTCATACAATCCGGTGTTCTTCCCAATGTCAAGCGTTACAAGTTGAAAATTTTGGTCTTGTTGATTGTCTTTCCAATAATGGTGATTTTGCTCTGTTTTTGCTTTGGATGGTTATGTATCAAGAGACCTGATTACTTACCAAGAACATGCCGGAGAAGCCACAAGTTCACATTCGCGATGCTAGAAGCAGCAACAGATGAGTTTTCAGATCAACATCTTGTGAGCACGAGCAATACAGTGGATA